AAAAGTGCTGGTCTATTAAAAAAGGCTGTTTCATGATGACTTGCTGAGCTTTCCTTTAAAAAAGGCTACAGCCTTGTGCTCCATCATCACAAGGGTAACGTTATGCCAAGTAGGGTTAACACACACACACACGCACACACACACGCTTTCAGGGCCGAGAATAGCCCAACAGGCCTAAAAGTTGGTACTACCTGGACTGTTTGGAAATGCATGAAGAGCCAGTCTGTTTTAATTTTGAGTCTTAGAATTCTGACACCTAATCATTTCACTCCTTTCTATTGTCCCTCTTCACTATAAAACAATTTCTGCTGTTACTTAACAGCTTCATATAAATCAATAAACTTCACAAGAATAATTGTCTCCCCACAATCTTTTACTCCAAACGCCCAAGTCCTGTTCTTGCTTTTGGCAAACATATATGGCAAAAAAATGATCGTTCAACAGCTATCTTCACATTAGTGGAAGCCAACATAGATCACATTTATGTATATTCATGGTTTGGTCAGAGTCTCAGCCTATGATTCATGAGAACATAATAATACACAAACTGACTTTTATATCCTGTTATCCAGAAAAGATGACTATCACAGTAATCCTCCATATAAAGTAGACCAATAAAAATAAGTACTAGAAAGGAAGTACGGTACCCTGCATATGCCAACCTAGAGCCTTCAGCTAATAATAGAGTACATCCAGACAGTCAGTATGTGGAGGTGCCTTCATGTAGTATGCAATTTAAATGGAAAGCCACTAAGAATATAAACAAAAAACAAACAAAAAGCTTAAGCAGTATTAAAATTACCTTTATTAAACTTTGTGACCGTACCCAAGTTCTTCCCAAGTGAAAAATTACAATGATTAAGGTCTCAACTGTAATTGCGCTGGCAAGTCACGACGACAACAAACTGGACAAGTCACATGCAGTGACTGGATCAACCATATCATTGGCCAAAGATCTGGGGGGTGGGTGGGTGAGAGAAGGAGGGAAGAGGAGGAACAGGACAAGGAGAGAACAGTAACTTGCTGCCTAAAAAAGGGCAGCATAACTAAATAAAGCCTTAAATTATTCTTCTAGCAACAAATGAATCATATTGGGATAAATATAATTCAGCACTTTATAAACTGTATTATATCATGAATGCATCTCTGGTTTCATAGAAAGAAAAACCACCCCTTTATTACTCATACTGCCTCAACACTTAACAGAGCTCATGATTTTTTCTTTAACAGTCTCAAGCATTTCGATGAAAATCTGTAGCAGATTTGGCACTTGTTTTAGTCTTTATGATTGGGAAGAAGCTGGCATAAAATGTGCAGGAAAGCTGGGCATGAGATTTTGAAGACTAACATAAAAGCCATGAGACAAGGACTTGAAACAGTTACCTTAACGTGTCACCGCAGACATTTCTGAAGACCCTCTGGAACCTGAGACACTCTATTTGTGCAGCCTCAATACTAGTTAGGTAATAGATCATTTCCATGGGCAACATCTACGATTTTAAAGCGCTCCTTTCAGAGAGCCCATTTTAAACTTTAATGCTGACTTTTACAATGCTCTACCCAGACAAAACTCATTAAAGGGCTCAGTCCTGCAACAGTCTGAAAAAGCTCTTGTCCTTATCTAGCACAGCATTAAAACATCATTGTCCTAGCCCAACTTTTTGACTGGTGGGCCAACTTTTAACCACACAGAGCTGTTAGTTAAAAGATCAAGTTGAACATGCAAGAGCTCACCAGTTCATAGAATCAAGATCCTAAAGGCTCCGCCTTTTATTTATTTATTTATTTTTGCTCAGCCCTAAGCTAAGAGTCTCTTCCATTTTAGGCTGATGTTTAACATTTAAAATAATAATAATAATAATAATAATCACTTTTATGTAGTTTTCTAAAGGAAGGAATCAAGGTTAATTTGTCTCCTCTCTGTCAACATCCTTTATAGTTAAATTGGGATGCTCTTTGTTGTTGGTAACTCCAGGCTATGCCACGCCAGGAAGAATATATTTAGCTCAAATATTTAAATTAAACCTGAAGAAATAGAACAGAAAATGACATAGGGTCTTTCTGACATAGGGTCTTTCTGTCTTTGCCTATTTACAGGAATACCTACTGGAAAGTGAGGTGACTAGTTCCCTGCCTTACTGTGATGGATCATAGTTTTCTGCCTAAGCTTATTTCTTTTCCCTAAGACTATTTCTTTTGTGAGGAGTTTATGCAATTTGGCTTGTTTAAAATACGTAAGTTCATACATATGATTATATGTATTATCAGTACTTGAAAAAGCACAGGAATAACGTGGACATTATTCTGCATTGTTTTCCTTCCTCTCCTGTGAGGAGAGAGAAAATGCACAGACTTCAATCGCATAATCTTGCTGGAGTCAGTAAATGGGGAATTGAAAGGGAGTAGAAAGCATGACGAAGTTTGATTATGGTTTTTATTGTTTTGGAGTTCACTATTACCTCTAAGATTAAGCTGGGGAACCCAAACTGCTGGGGACTTCTGTCCTATGAAAGCTAGACATGAGCTGCGTTCCTTGCAGTGAGGGAGCTGCCAGCTGGCAGAATGTCAGCATGCTGAGATCATTCTGTACTGCTGCCTTTTGAGAGGGATCCTGAAGGGAAAAAATGCGACATTTCCAAATGCAAGGTTAAATCCTTGCATTGTAAGAACAAAGCACTCACTTGGGTTGGTGCTGTTATCTGGTTGCATTCACTTGGCAGTCTTTAACAGACTCTTGTCACTGATAGGGTAAACAGTTCATTGCTACTTGTTTATTTTGTTTGTTTTATTTTGAAGAGCCATGGAAATCGGAAACTAACCCCATTTTCATTCAGTTCTAGGTCTGACGCAAGCACCTCTTTGAAAAATTCATTCATATCTCAAAGCTTCTATTTTCTGATTTGTGCGATGGTATGCTATTTGCTCCGTTTCCACAAGCATGCATTCACGTATGCAAACTGCCTTAAAAATGAAAAGTCCTTTTACCAGAACCAATGTAAAATGCATTAAATATATCGAAGGTGCATGCAGGATATCATATTGTCGGCATTTATGAAGTTTCAATGGCACTCAAGTAACGTCACCTGATATCACACAGAAGAATAAGTAATTTTCAAGACAGCATAAAGCAATATTTGCAGGCAGTTTAAGGCAAGTTAATATCCAGCTTCCACTGAAAACAGTAAGCCTGTATACTTAATTGCTCCAGGGCCTTTGAAAATCCCACCCAAAATGCACAATAAGCAGTAAATCAACCCCTTAGAAATGAAAAAAAAAAAAAACCTCTCCGCCCTCCCATCATAAGGTATTCTTGACCGCTAAAACGCATTTCTCTTACATAAGCACCTATTACATCATAGCAGGTCAGAGACAGCACTTTACAAAGCCAAAGTGATTAATAGCATGTATAATATTTTCAGAAATATTAAAATTCTTTATTATATACAGTGATAGGAATTTTCTATCTGTGTGCCTACATTAGTAGCAACTGTCAGTCTAAGACAGCAGCGTTTCTCAGATTTTCCATCTCTCTATCCTCCAGAAAAAAAGGAAAGGGGTGAAATTCCCCTCCCACACACTCTGGAAACACCTTGCTGCCATTGTAAAAGTCTACCTTGGTAGACCCCGCAGCAGCTGAAGCCAGATTTGATCACATCAGTACAAAAGATGATCTCTACAAAATAATCACAAGGAAAGTACTTCGGAAACAGAAGTTGCTAACACAGACTGATCTTTCAAAACTCAATGTCTCAAGACTTTCCTGGCAACACACAATTACACTCAGACTATCTCATCATACGCAACTTCCTGCACAGTAAAGCAGTATTAATCGCTGTATATTTGGTACTTGTTGACATGGGCCTCAGCTGTGTACCTTAAGAAAGAAGTAAAAATACTTTTATCTCCTTTACTCCTCTCCTTTGATACAGCTTTTCTTTTACGAGTTTCATTTCCTAGCCTAGAAATTGGTTCCTTGAAAGCAGATCAAAACTTGGATTTAAATTCAGAAAAAAACAAATACAGGAAAACGACCCCAAATATCCCAGAGTAATTAATATCAATAACCAAGGCTACTCAAGAATTAAGTTCCTACCAGAATGAGGCTGCCATAACGAAACAAACACATCTTCATGGGAATCGACAAGAAATCCACAATGAAAAACTGGAGAAATCAAGTCTTCACAAAGCTGAAGTCACTGTAATGAGCAACATAACGTTGCTTTGGCCAAATAAGAAAAGTAACCTACTTGATCTTCTGCAATGCTCAGATGCATCATAAGACAGCATTTTTTCACTAAAGCTTTTATTGCTGAAATTAGGTTAGTCAAAAAGGTCTGGAGGAAAGCTGCATATTGTATTATATTCAAGAAAAAGGATTTCATTGTCAGAAACACGCTGTTGTTCCTTCTTTTTCCTCACTAAGGAAACAAGACTAACTTTCCAAAAAGGAACTCTAAAGACAAAAGATTCAAAGTGATTTGATGGAAGCAGACCTACATCTTGAAAGTGGCAGGCAAAAAAATTAAGGAATAGAACAGAGAAGGAAAGAAAAAAAAATGAGGGGGAAAAAAAAAAAGCAAATTCAAAGATTAAAAATGAAATTCCAGCAGCAATTCCCATCCATTTTCCTTCAGAGTCTGGCTGAGGTTTAGTCTCAGAGACATTTTCATCTTAAAGAAATTGCAAATGTGAGAATAAAGGAGACAGACCTGTCCTATAGCTTTGCAGACTAAATGACAGAAACAAGATGTAGACTGATCCACACTACATTATTAAAAAGTTAATATACCTATTATAATAACTATACATGATTTGATGTTTGATTTTCGAAACACTACGGCAGTCAAAAATTTGCTTGCTTTTGCAACACTAATTTTAAACTATTTGTAGATCAACAGTATATTTTAATCAGATGATTACAGTCATGATCAGATGTATGTAACTGTTCACATACCAGAGTTCTGGGAGGAGGGGGAAAAAAAAAAAAAAGATAATCTTACCTTGTCTTGGTTTTCCTTATTTTTGTAACACAAATTTCCAATCAAACGAATGAGATGAGATTTAAAACCCACGGCTGGATGTGAAATTTCTTCCTGTCCTGTCATAACCTGTGTGGCAGTGAAGATATTTGCAGCCTGTTTCCCAGCAAGATGAGTTAATCTCAGGGTATCTGAAGAAACCAAAACATTTTAATAACCTATCACATGAAAATTGGTCTACGGACAGCATTTTACTGGCATTTTAAAATTGTCAGCCTCAAAGTTAACCAATAAAATTTCAGCAGTATGTTAAAAGAAGTTTGAAAATGTTATTTTCTTAATTTAGATTAGTTCAAACTCTTCACAGCAACACAAACTAATTATGGAATTGCTTTTTCCTGTTCTCCAGTCTGCTTTGAGCTCAGTAGGATGAGAAAAGATTCTCAGTTCATCTAGTACCTCACCATACTATTACAAATCCTTGACTTCCCTGTCAAACGGAAAATACTAATATTCCTGTATGGTAAATGCTAGTTCAGAGCAACGAAAGATTTTTTTTTTTTTTTAATACATTTAGAAGACCTAAACAAATACTTAGGACAGTCAGTCCAGAGAGAAACTAGAAGGAAGGGAAACTCTAAAATGTGTGAAAACAACATCTCATAAAAAGAGGACACCCAGAAAAAAGTTGAAGTCACATGAGCATCTGGTAGTCCATACATCTGAGAAGTCAATTCACTAGGAGCTGTGCATATATTAAAAAACAAATGAACATTACAAATATAAATATTTTTCCCCCCTAAGAGCCCTACCATACTAATAATTGGCCCAGTATAACCTCTTCCCAAAGATGCTACATGCAACTTACACTGGAACAATAAAGATGTAGCAAAACCAGGTTATAGCACAGGGTGAAACAGTAACGAAGACCTACGCTCCTTCTGCTTCAGATGTGACAACATCCAAAGTGGAATGGACACCAGACTTTCTGGATTTACATTAGAAGAAACTTCACAGGTCCTCATAATACTGTTTTAATCCTAGACAGCTGAAGGAAAAATTCTCAATGCCTTAATGGTGATATAAATAGGTAACTAAATTTTTGGTAGTTTTAAAAAATGTTAACTTAAACAAAAATTTTAAATGCCGTACTTTAATAGGGCCTAGTGGTCTCCTGTATGAAAGCTACCACTTTTGTTCATTCGGGTTTTTAGAACTGAGCAGAACAAAACTATCTCCTGACTCTTGGAAAGAAAGAAAAATCTAAAGCCAGTAGCCCCTAAATAACACGATCAGAAAACAGCATTTAACTCAACCTTCTCTCACACAAATTTGTTTGCTCATGTAAATTCATGAAAATCGACATCCTTTTTATGACATTCGCTTTGCGCTTCTTTTCCTTTTAGTCTTAGTAGCTTCCTTACACATGAACACAAAAGAGGAAGTTAGTGGTCTTCCCAGACTTGCTGTCTCCCCATAAAAAGGGGCTCCTAAATGGAAAGATTGAAAAAAAAAAAAAAACCAGAAACAAACAAAATTCTAACTTTACTACAGAGCTGACAAAATGAAATGAGGCTATCTGACCTGGAGAGAGAGGTGCAGCAAAAGAGGATGAACAGCAGTCACCTTCCACCCACGATACCAATCCCGAGAGAGCAGCGCTCCTCTCAACTGGGGTACGTCCAACAAAACACAACAACTGCCTCCTGTCAGCTATTCTCTCAACTGAACGCATAAGCCTGACATTCTTCCTTGTGATCCCAAAGAGTAACCCTTCCAATGAACCCCTCAATCCATAACACCGCTTCCCTGGTGACATTCTTCAAACACTGTGCAATTAGAATATTAATAGTGCTAAAGACATTAAGACTGCAATAGTGCTGTCTAATTTAGCACTGCTCTTCTACTGAAAACAGAACACTTCTTAGCTGATACATAATACAACATTCAGATATTTTTCTAATCCTTTCTAAAACTTTCCAGTAACCACAGATTAACCTAGACCTAGACATTTCCAACAGGAGACAGGTTTCTCGTGAGATCATCTGAGCAGAAGAACCGCTTCATCAAAAGATCCCTCTTTTTAAAATAAAATCGTTTATAACATCTTCAGTTCAGGAGTTAGGCGACACGTAACAGAGTTCTTCATCTATTTTGCTAATCCAACGACTATAGGATTAAAGGAGTTTTGTAGCCAGCAGATAGGTTTAAAGAGAGCCTATCTGAACTGATAAATTCCTGTTGAGGGTACCTGGGAACTATGCAGGATGCACAGGGCAGTAATGTTCTAGCTTGCACCCATGTTTAATTAGCCTGGAGACAACTGGGGAGAAAAGTCAGTCTGTGTCCAGCAAGAGACAGCAGGACTGGCCTACAGACTGCTAACCTTAGCAGACTGATGTGCAGCTCAAGTTCTCTTCTGTATTGAGGGACTTACACAACCATCAGAAGATATGAGTAGTCATTTTGTGTTTCCTTAAAATATACATACATGCAGATGAAATATATATTGTCGTAAGCTGTCTTAATGTAAGCTATATAACTATGCACCTGAGTCTCATCAAAAATAGACTTCTTCATAAAAAGGGGACTCTCAGAACATCTCAATATAGAGAGATACAGTAAACTGTTGTTTCAGCCACCTGTTTTACTCAAAACATTATATAATTAATTCTTTAACATCCATCAAAGGTTTACAAGTTACTCGGAAAGCTGTGCACTACATCAGTTTCAAAAAGCACTGATTTAAGAAGGCACAGGTCACACGTACGCTTTTTCCTCCTTTCTCCCTGACTATTTAGGGTCTCTCTGGATCATCCTGGCTTCGTCTTACTTGTGTAAAACCATTATTTTATTGTTTCTCAGCAGAAGAAAACTTCTTTCAAGTTAACCTTTAAAAGTCACTGAATTTGATTAAGAACCTTCAATCCCTATTTAGCTTCAGTTTTCAAGAATTTGGGGAACAGAAGGGAACAGGCATTGAAAAGTCCTATTTCTACTTCTCGAGGAAGTTCTTCCACACACATTCAGTCAGTGGAAGAACATAGGAAGCGGTTGTCCTTTTGCACAACTCCTACCATATAAATAGCACATTGCTGAGAGTTGAATAAAAGCTCTGTTGGGTTATAGGCACCAACAGAGCAAGTAGAGCAGCCGAAAAATTCCAGGAACAAATCAAATATTTGAAAATGCAGATTAATTCAATCTCTTATTTATTTATTTTATTAAAAGGTCAGAATCATAATTACCATCAGTTGCGGAAAACATGTTTTCATTCACAGAGCAACATGATTTGAAGCCAGCCAGCAGTTCATAAACTCTGTGGCTTTTCACTCACCTACAGCTGTTTCAAGTAGCCCAGGCAAAGCTTGTAGATGTTCTAGCTGTCCGCTGGTTGATGTCATTTCACAAAGAACGTCAAGAAGTCGAATTGCAACCAGTGCTTCCTGTAAATGAAAATACCTTTCTGGAAATGTTTTATGAAGGATAACATATGAACATAGATCTGACGATCTACTGAAGGACAAGAACTCTCAGCAACTCAGTTTCTTTGCAGGTCTTTTCAACTGCCAAGAGTAAATTTATATAAAATAGGAACACCTTTCTAGAATAACGATAATATAGTGCATTGCAATGCTTTCTTCTCTACAGTCAAAAGCAGTGTTATACGTGCCCTGAAAGATCATGGGGAAAACAAAACAGAGCCATAAGGGATAAAATTTTAACAAAAACACAGTAGCTTCCAAAAGCAGAAATACAGAAAATTACTAGCTGAGAAAATTATTTCTGTATAAATGTTTTCTTTGAGTTTATTCCGTAGGAGTGTCCCACTTTAAAGACACAACACCGCCTGCAAGACACCAATTTTTTATCCGCAGGAATTCTGTAAAGTACTGTGGTCAAATGAACTTTGGCTGCGAGAATTTACATTATTCTTGGGTAAATAGGATAGGAATCATAGATGCAGCATTTTGGTTAGGTATGAAACGCACCATTTTATTTGCATATTATTTATTCAACCAGAGAACTATTTTTTCTCATGGGTTGTGTTGCTGTGTGCTTAGAACGACAATGCAGCACTTACAGAAGGTTACCTTAAGATTATATGGAATAATTAGGAATGCCACATATTGCTCAATAACAAGATTGCAACTGCAACCTGGTTCCTTACAAGGTGTGCTATGTAAACTGCAAGTAGCCTTGAAAAGGCTCACACATACATCAGAGCAACTATTTCCGCCTTGTTTTCTTCTTGACCAGGACGGAGCAACGTTTACGTCTGACTGCACCAAGAGTATAGCATTTTTTAATTCACATAGTCAACATAACATGATTGAAGCCATCAACAATTTTGTTCACTAAGTACTCGGATTATATCCGCTCTTTGCTCCTTTCTGTGCTCTCTGAGGACAGTAAATGGGTAGAGGGTCCAGATGCCAAAAGTCGCGTTTCTGTTTGCTTCCTCACACAGGTATACAAGCCAAGTCACAGCCTTGCCCTAAGTTACGGTATAAATTGCTTTCAACAAGACAAAATCAGCCTCCGAATAAATTGGTCAACGTAGCAGTATAAAGTACAGTTGAGTTGTTCTTTGGTCATGGACATTAAGCAAGTTTTTGCAATTTTTATCTCATTTTGCATTGTCACAAAACTGTAGCTTAATCAAAAACCTCTTCAGCTCATATGCTTTACACTTGCCTTTTCACAAAAAAGTTACATGCTTTACAACTCTAAGGCAAATAAGTATCAACAGATGTGATAATTCAAAGACCATTGCTGCCTGTGCATACTCCATTGCCCATTCACTCACACCTATAACCTCTGTAGCAGCAGATACTATAAGCAGGGTGTGGCTTTTTCTTTTTTTTCTTACTTTTACGCTCCTTCTAATGCTCCTAACCTTTCCCGTCCCCCGTCCTTGTTTGCTGTCCTCTACATACTTCTTTCCAGGATTTTATACTCCTGTCTCTCCATTTCTCTTATCCCACCATCTGGCTCAGATCAGCAACTGTTCCAACTGTATTCAAGAAGAGAAACAGACTGCTTAGAAAGTACACACACACACAAATCACGTCTACGTATAAAACTTGATACTTTCAAAAAAGTATGATAGTTCCTTTTTAACTTCAGCAAGAAGATGCTGTTCACACCCCAACTGATTTTGAAATCTGATAGCCATGTTGATTTGGATATAATCTGAAAAGTAAATAAGGAAGTGATGGAAAAGTTTTCAAATTAACATATTTCAAGAGAGACCCAGAAAAGATGTTCCTTACCATGAGATTAAATAGGAAGTCAAAATCCCAGGGACAGTTTTATTTTGGAAGTATGGTTGAAAGTTAGTGAAAGCAGACTGGTGCTAAAGCCAGGCTTACAATGGAAAATTATTTTAAACGTTGGTTTAAGCACTACAGAAGCAAAGTAGGCATTGGCTTGAGATGGGAGCTACAAGACCTGAGGTGCCCTAGGGAACCTACATATGCCTAATAAATTGAACAGCGGATGGGACCCAGACAATGTTTTGGGAGACAAGCCAATTCAAAGCTATTCTCAAAAAGGCACTTTCAGTGTGGCCTCCCAGTTTTGGGGGCTAAGAGAGCTTACTAGTATAGACGTAGCCTGACCAAGACACCTAGTTTCAGGGCCACGGGAAAAGCCCAGGAATAGTTTAGTTTATCAGCACAAATGTTGCCTAAAGCATTTTTAAAGACAGACTATGTATAGAATTGTATTTTTTTCAGTTAAATACAACTCTTAGGCAAAAACTAAAATATTTAAATAATCAAAGAGAAAGTGGTACCTTTTTTTTTGGGGGGGGGGGGCCCACTTCTATTAAGAAAAGAAACAGTTTCTATGAATTTAACTCGAATTTTTCTTCTCCCATGGCAAGCATGTGTTATATATAAATATATATATGTTTATGTGTATATGCATGTGTGTAGGTATACACACACACACTTTTTAAAAGCTGTTCTTGCCCCTTCTTTTGATTTATTCAGCTATTTGTGACTCATGTTGCAGTCACTAAACAATCCACATTTCCCACCAAATAGCGCTACTCAACTTATCATGTCTCACGTCCATGTGAGAGAAGGATAAAAAGTCATTGCCTAACAGGGCAACTGATACAGCAGCATTCTCAATAGTGCTGTCCCAGCACCTTCAAGTTGGACAGAGACCTTCTGCTAGGCGCAAACAAATGTTTTTTTTCCAAGAACTGAAACCACAGTTAGTTGGAAAGTAACCACACAGGATTAAAAATAAAAGAAAAAAAGAAAGATGGAATTGTCTCAGTATATTTCCTCTTGCTGCCAAGCTGATACCTTCTCTGGAAGTAGTTAATTAAATCTTCTACGATATCTCAGACTAAGAGGTTAGTGCAGTCCTGGGGAAAGGGGTCAAAGGAGTGGGGAAAAAGGAAGCCATCTTTCTTGGATAGGTAAGAATAAGATTGCTGTTGAAGACCTGCTTCCCATTTTAAGTTTTCTTATACACCCACAGCTGTTGTTTCCTTATGAAGTGATTTTTGGTAACTTTCCATATGACCTTCCTGTGCATATCTGTACATTTAAAACTCTTTTTTTTTTTGGCTGAAAGATGTGCAAGAGGAAGTTACAACAATGTTTAACATTATCCTATAAAAGCACATAAAGATAAATTTTTTTTCATTTGAATTCCAAATTACAGTTACGAGATGTTCTTAAGAATTCCTCCGCCTGGAACTACCACAGGTTAATTTTGTTTCAAGAATAAAATGTTTCCCACTACATGCATATTGGGTAACACAATTTCAGCAAACCATAGCGGTCCCCTGACAGGATGGAAGCTAGATGTAACATTTCTAAAAACGTATCTTCTAATGCTACACTCATCTTAAACACTTTTAACTATTACGCAAATGTTAGCTACATATTTGAAATTAAGTATGACTAATCAGTGAGAACTCAAGGCATCAAAAGGAATTAAAACAACGTTTTACTAAGTCTATGTTTGACCAACGCGTATTAGGGTTTCTCAGGCTTTAAGTTTTGTGGTTAGGCTTTTTTTTTTTTTTTTAAGGCAAAAAAGAAAACTCATATCAGCGAAAAACATCAAAACTCAAACTTGTTCTATACAAAGGGATTCAGAACTGAGAGCAATACAACTGGCACCCCCTGTTCAGAATACAGTGATCTAACATAGCACCAGGTGCTTTCTTCAAGCAGTTTGTTGAAAATAAGAAGAAAAAAGTAAAAGAACAGATTATTTTAAAAGACCTTTACCCTTAGATGGCCTAAACCTCCTTATGGTATGGCAAGTAGCCAGCATCTCTTGGATACTTTGTAAGGAGGACATGAAATAAGGCCATCCGGAACTCGGCTCTGCATCAGAGGTTCCCAAAGTGCAGCCCACAAGTCACTTGTGACCCATAAAAGCCTTCCTATTTAGCTTGCAAAGGGATTTCATTGTGGCCATACTCAACAGAACCGATTAAGTCTGAGGCAATAACAGATCTCATTCAAGCGGACTGGAGCTGGGTTGAGTGGTTGGGTGCCTCCTGCAGACAGGCGATGTCAGCCACTAAGAGCCCAGAAAGCTCTGCAACTTGAGGCTGTGGACCTAACCAGCCCCAGGAGCACCACCTTGTCAGAGCCACGTAAGGCCCACCATGTAGCACCAAATTGTTGGGAAAAAGAGTCAGGGACTAAAGCCCTCACTAGCAGGGAGGATCACTGCACTTTTCAGAGAGCTGCCCCTGTCTTGAGCTGAATACACACGTATCACACAGCTTTCTGTGATGAGGACTTGGTGTTCCAGGTCCTAAACAGATTGGGAACATCTGCCATGCAAATAGCCAACTTCGAGTTCAAAGTAGTAGTATTTGGGAACGTTATGATGTGTCCAATATTAATCGCAGTTATTTAAGTTAACAAAAAAAAAAAAAATCAAACCCTAAGATTTACTTAGTTTAGCACCGTTGCATGGGGGAGGTGAGTATTTACTATATTTACTTTTGTTTCAAATTTATTTAAAGAAAAATTCAGAGATGTTGTTCTCCTCCCATACATACAACAAATATCTAAAGTTTTGAATAAAAAGTAATTCATAAAGTAAAATAATTATAGACGTGCTCTCCAGTAAGACCCTGGCAACTTAAAAGAAAAAAAAAATCTGGCAACTTAAACTTTTTAAAGTTTTGAGATATTTTACATGGTAGATGTATTTTTATCTCAAAGTACTGGATCCTTTGTCATACTCAAATTCCCAAAATCTCACCTCCAAACCCTTGCCTACTGTCTTACATATTTACCAGGGAACAATGCCACTGCTTTACCAACATAAAGGAAACTCTGAAACATACAGAAACAGTAACTGTGATTTGACGTATGAGCGGCAATGCAGAGTCGTCACTTCAGATTCTAACACTGTTATGTTTTATCCGTTTTACCTCATCTTTTGCATCTGCTGCAGAAGTTAACTTGAGCACAGCTTGAGACTTCTCCTGGAAACATCCTGCAAGGAAGTCAGCATGTCTCAAGAACACAGTCATTTCTTCACTGGTAACTGGGTTGTTCTCACTTATTTTCGCCATTATCAGTTCTAACAAAGTAACTCTAGAATTAGAAAACAACTTGTTAACTTTATACGGCTCAGGGAATTTGGTTAACAGTAGAATATGCAGATATGGTTGTTAAAAATGATGTAACGATTACCATTTTATTAATAAATTTGATATTAAAACATTTCTTAAAAACACTGACAATCAGCTCCTGTTCACCATAGATGCTGGTGTATTTCTGCACAGCATTAAATTCAGTTCACCTTTCCATTAATACAATCTCGCCAGTCAAGTCCATATTCTTCTCAAGTTTGTTTCAATTTTTAATTTCTTATGCCCTAACATATGCTGTATGTCTAAAATTTCGACCAGAACAGCCTTTAACAGCTGCTGCTAAGTTCAGCACAGACTATCTGACAGCTTCCGTTTGAAAATACCAGCTTTTCACAGCCCTTGCCTTGCACACAATCCTTCACTAACTCCCTTTCCCAACTGAAAAACAATTCTGAGCAGAAACAGGAGGAGAAAATTGATACGTACACTCGGTTCTATGCAGTTGTTTCATAACTGCCACTAGATAGACTATAATAAATTCAAGTTAATTATTCATATACCCACTGAGAGCTATTCAGTGTATTAAATCAGCCATTAAGCGGATACTTAAAGAAGTTGCTCTATAAAACGTCCCTGGGTCATTTATTTTAACAGTTTTAATGTTGTTTTATTTCTGATATCCCTTCATGTTGTTATGGCAAATCTCAACAGAATATTTGGAGGAAATAGAACTTTAATGTGGCAGAGGCCCTACTACAGCTTCCCTGTTAAATTTCAGCAAAGAAGAGAACATGGGTTAGCATGATTACACAGTAATTCTCTCAGCCTGAAAGAGCTCTATTTACTGAAGGCATCCAAGAGCAGGCTCAGAGTTTTCTTTGACTAAAATATTTGCAATTCCATTGCAAAATATCTGCAACGGAAGGACTGACATTCAAACGTATGAAGCAGTTCAAATGTATGCATGTTTGTTTGTTTTAATTTACCAAGCAAGCTGTCACACAAGGGAGAAAAATGTCTTTTTCTGTGGAAAAAAGCATGGTCACTGCTTCATTAACCTCAAAAACCTCACCTCTATTAATCAAGTTTAACAGTTACTCAGTTCTTGCTAAACTAAACCTTATATGTCATTAATACAGCTGGATTAAACAATTATCTCAATGAGCACAAAAATCTTTTTCAACATGACAGCACAGAAATGTACTCAACATATCTGGAAAAGGAACTCATGACAGAACATTGTCAAACACTACTAATCTCTCTTACAGGCTTTACTTAGGTAGGTGATGAAGCACCAAAACAGAACAGTTATGTTTGTTCTACAGGTTAAAGTAGGGTACTGTACACTTGCCCATCTACAGACCACCAGAGATAGGTTACCCTACATTCCAGGCTGTCTGTAGGTTTTCAGATTTGGCATACCGTACTAAAATCAGGTAGAGTGCACAGATGTGTCATTCATTCCCAAGATGGAAGTTCTTACTGAGTTTAAAGCTTTTCAGATATAGCCTCAGCTAAGAAAACAGGCTGCTCACAGATTCTATGACCAGAAGACCCATTCCAGCACAGTACCATCGCCTGCATAACAGAAATTCAGTCAGCTGTTCTTGAGCTAATAATCCAAATATAGCTTTTAAAAGGGCAAACAATCCTTCTGTAAAGGAGTTGGAGGGTGACCGCATACTCTGATAGGCTGTATTAGAGAGAGAAAATTATCGCCAATACGGAAATAGCTTCCTAACCCCTTTTTGCATCACTCTTCCTCTAGCAATATAATCACGTGCCCTCTTAGTTAATCAAAATCCTTCCAAAGACATAGGAGTGACATGAAAGCATCACCTGTATGTAATTTCTGTCAAAGGTTTCTGTTCTCTTTAAGCATTCACACATCAACACTATCTTTCTGAGCTTTCTTCTAGCCATAGACATTCAGGACAATGCCCGTCCTTCCTCTAAATTTCAAGCAAGTCTTGTTACTCAGCCAAAAGTTTCCTGAGAGCAACTTTTTGTCCTAGTGCAAGTTCCCTTACATTCCTTTCCTCTATTGTTTCTCTCTGTCTTCTTCCAAGTCTCCCTACAATCTATCCAAGTTAGTTCTCTCGAACAATCTCTCATTTGCAGATTTCTTTTATGCTATCTCACAAAAATTTTTCAGTCAGTCAAATGATCCTACTTGGTTGCTTTTGGCTAAGTACCGCAATGGATATGACAACTGTTTGTGCCAGTTTCAACATGTCTCGTCACGAATTTTCGTAACTTTCGGTTCAATATCTGAGTATAGCTTTGTATAATATGTTTGAGGGTTGAGTTTTTTTTCTAGCAGTGCCAGGTACCCTACGTTGAGTGCCTATTTCACCACTAGTGATTCTATCAGTGACTACACCATTCACTGAGAACACTTTACATGAAATAATCAAATCCATAAGTTTTAAAGATGTAAATAGTTGAGCATCCTAAAAAACATCTCAAGCATTTCTGTTCTGTATTTTTGTTGCTATTAATGAAAGCAAGAGTAAAGGGACAACACAGATGTATACATTTTGAAGATTTTACAATGTAATTAGGCTATCAAGGCACTAACTTACGTCGTCGATGCTCAAAGCTAACTCGGATTAAAGGAAAACAGGCTTTTTCTAAATACTTTTGCCAAACACTTGTGCATATGGGCACATCTCAAATCTGGCAAAGAATTCAAGTATCTTTACAATCTTTTGGCTCAATACCGTAGCCGTATGTTTCTGCAGTAATCACCTGCAGAGAAACAGCATTTTCACATAATCACACGCTTGCCAGAATACCATTAAAAAGGCTGATCACGTTTTCACAGCACTTATTCCAGGCCACCTGCAAACTCAGGCATGCAACAGCAAATCACTTAAATTTGGTTTGGATATGGAAAAAAAAAAAAAAATTTGTCCAAAGTCAGGAGTTTGTCTTTTAATTGAAAGTTTAGGTCCCAGATTCACTTCCACAACAAGAAGGGCTCCTTCTTGGCACACATCATGGCCACAATATCACAAATACACTAGAATTCAATTCAGGAAATACTTTAAATACTGCAAATACTGGGAATAGTGCAAATACTGTGGTTATGCAACTGCAAATACTTTGGTTATCTAAGGCAACTGCCAGGTTTTTTTTTTTTTTGGGGGGGGGGGGAGCCACTAATGTAAGTATTAACAAATTTTCTCTGCATAGTTCACAGCTTTTCAGTAAATAGATTTAAAATAAATGTATTTAATGTGCGTGATGCAGAATACTGTAACAGTTACCATTTATTCATGAGCTCAAGCTGCCTTGCCCAGACATCTCAATACCACATCTGTCCTTTCTTCATTCATATGACTCAGTTAGCCTTATTGGACACCCAATGTGGCACTCTTCCAGTGAAGGCTCCTTGTCTCATTCTGAAAGAATGAATTCCCTATGCTTTGGTTTATACGGTCACTTTTCCCCCTCCCCACTTAATGACACTCAACATGTTTTTATCTAAACTTGATTTTCCTCCTTATGTACCTCAAAAGAATGCATTCTTAAATACGTCAGGAAGTTCATATATGAAGAATGTCACCACAGGGTTTTCTTCTATAGCTCAAATGCAAAAGGACTATTTCTACAACACATACTTCAGTATGTTTGATAGTAAATTAAAAAGTAGCAAACTGTGACTATCTTTTTGGAAAACAGTTAACTTCGAGTTGTAGAACTCTTGTGAGTGATAAATATGGTGAATATCCCGCAACTAGCCATCCAGTGTGAGTATCTGTATGTCTACACAAAACACCTTTCTGCCAAAGTAGCACATCATCCTAAGTAGCATGGTACATGCAAGTGAATGCATCTGAGACCCTTCTAGAACTGTTTAGATGTACAAAGCTATCCATTGTTCTAAGAACAAATTAGCAACCTAACACAGCCCCGACTGTCCTCAAGGGGAATTTGGGGGGGGGGGGAATGATGACATCCCCCAAAAGAATAAACCTGGCTCGTTCCCTTAATATAGTCTTTCCAATTAACTATCTGGTTAAGGAACTTCTGCTTCTAGGAGCAGTAAGCACATAGCTTGTACTCCTTCCCATATGGTCAGCACGAAGAAAGGAGAAAGACAGTTTTTTCCTCCTTGCCACTCCTATGCCTTGCTTTATGCCCCATACTTGTACATAAACTGTATTTTATCTACCATTTTCAACCATATTCTGCTGTCTGCCATCCCTTTTGTTTCTTTATAATCTCTAATCAGTATCTGAGCCACTTTTTTTTTTTTTTTTTAAATAACACCATGGCTTTAGCCACAGCAAAAAAATACGAACAAAAACATGACAAGGGAGAGTTCTGTTTACTTCATTGTTTTCACTTGCAAAAACTGTAGACAGGAACTTGCAGCTTCCCTGCAGGAATGGCGAATAAAGTAGCCATTTTGAATAGAAAGAAATATATGACCAAGGAATGTTTAAACTGTCAGAGGACTTGTGGAATTATAGCACAAGATTTCCAAGTGTTTGTTATTCTAACTTAAAATAAATTTTATCTTCCCCCATTTTTTATTAAAGCAATTGTAAATGAGTATTTTTCCTATTACAGAAATGGCCATTTTCCATCAATTCAGCAGGCATTTATTCAACTGCTTGAAGGAAAGCTAGCTACTCTCTTTCTAGGCTGAAGGTCTGTTATAACATTTAATACTTCTTAAATAATGGAGATACTAAAAGATTAAGTAATTATGGTGGTCTTTACATCTATGCTTTTTAGCTTCTGCTAACCAATATTAGGTACACATCCAACACATCCAGCTTTAGTAAAGTTAGTACATCAGGCTTCCTTTTAATTTCTTGTAATTACAACAGGGGTATGAACAGCTGAGTACATTTCAAATACAGCTGTAAAACACTGCAGGGTGTGGTGCTCTTATGAAATCAAGGCACAGGCATGAAGTCTTGCCTTTTTTTTTTTTTTTTTTGAAGTATTTCTTTACTGAGCAACGGCGCCAACCTGGATTCTGCAATCCTACATAAATCACTGCCAGTTGTGGCTAAGCTGTAATGTTAACCAACCAATTTAAAACCATTACTGACATAGAAACATGTATTTAGAGATTTTGTGCCAACTATGAAACCACACAGTTTTTCAATCATGTGAACAGGATACTCTATATGGAATGCTAAATACTAAAAGCCACATTGGTTTTTGGGGTTACCTTTCTTGATTGCTCAGTTTGGCATAGAGGGCTTTTACCAACTCTGGACATTTCAGCAAATGGTCTGTAACAATCAAGAACCTAAAGAAAAAAAGAGTAAGAGAAAAATGAATTACTGGTGCCATAAAGAAAATAGCATTTACATTTACTCTACCAGATGCTAGTTATTTTTATTTGCAGATGACCATGCAATATGTTTCTAGTCCTATTTGCTAAGAGATACAAATCATCACAAACTAATTGCGTATTGTTCTCCTGGTATTTTCCCTATTGCAGCAACGGGCATTTCCCATCAAGCCAGCACACTTTTACTCAAATGAGTGAAAGAAAGCTAGCTACAGAAAAGGCACACCACCATTCACATAATAAATGGTCAATCCAAGTCTTCATGCATCTCAGCAAAAAGCCAAAATTTAAGTTTGAAAAATTGTGCCATTCATCAGAAGACTGACTCTTTTTAAGCTCACCAAATAATCAAAAGTGCCCAAATAATTTTTCCTTTCAAAAAAGTTTCTAACAAAGCATCAGAACTTTGTCAGATACAGGGCAGCAAAATATTCCCGAATTACCAAAAATAACCCTCTTGTCAATGTCACAATCTAACTTCTGAATACCTTTAAGGCAGCAGCTTGCAGTATGATCTACCCTTGTTCTAACACCAACATTTATACTGATCGTTTTCACGAGCATCTTTCATAGCAGTCAATAGATATTAGTCATCTAATTTCAGTCCAGCTGTGTAGTCTCAGCATTCCAAAACAAAACAAAAAACCCAACCAAACAAAAAACCACACTCACACTAAACTGAGTAAATATTTTCTTCTTCAAATTAGATTTCTAGAAGTACTGACAGTGTTATATACGGTACATAGGGAAACACGTACTAAGCCATGCATTTTTAATCAATATCCATATCCAGTAAATGTAAAATCAAAGGTTCAAAGCTCAGAACATCCTACATCCTCTTGAGCTGATGAAGCCACTGAGCAAGGGCAGCTTGAGATGAAAACTTTGAAATTTCAGTGTTCTCTCCACCACCTCCCTGCTTTTTGCTTTGCTGATAGTCTTTTATTTTGTGTATCCATAATCCATTACACAGCTAGCAGGAAGATCACACAGAAGTCCTCCAGCGGTAATAAAGTATTTTTTGGACAAATAATAATCAAAAACAATTGATGAAACAGAACAAGAGGTCCAAAAGATTAATAATGATTGTGTTTCTAATGCTAACTGTGGGCTTAGTAAGCATTTGGTTCACTTACTGCAGGCTAGACTTTTTAGGGGGTGGGGGGGAAGAAGTGCTGTACTTTTTAACTGTACTGTAACATACATTCAAGGAAAAAAATAATATAGTCATAGGCAATCATCAACTTAAAAGTGGCATTCTGACCAGCACTGGGTTGATTCACAAGCTTCTCAACAGTAAATTGAACCTACAGACTTCCCCAAAGCCCATCCCACAGCTATATTCCAACGCTGAGCAGTGCACACTGACGCAGCAGAATTTCATCAAGCCACCAACACGGCAGTCAACAGGAATACTTCCACAAATCCTAAGCCAACAATTCATGGCGTAAGAGCTCCTGACAGCTAAATCATCAGAATGATGGCAAAAACTGACTTTATTTGTTTAAGGATTTGAACAGAAGCAAAGGCATCTGGAGCTGCAAGAGAGGAAAGCACAATAATCACAACTGTGCGAAACAGTAGCATTTAGCCTCGCAACATACAAATTTCTGCTGCCAATGAAGTATGGTAAAATAACACTGAAAGAAAAAAAAATCTATAGTCAGATTTTTCAATTTTGCAGTTAGACCTGTAAATTTTAATATTAATTTTCACAATTAATATTACTTTGGGGATATTTTCTTGACTACTTGCCTTACAGTTAACAAGTAAACCAACAGTTATCGCTAAAGCACTTCTAACTCTAGCTACCACGTTCAGAAATTTTGGTGGTAGTTAAGTAAGGGTGAGGCAAATTAAAATTAGTGTCTTCAGTCCTCAGCTCTCCTGTTTTTCATTTGGGGTGGGGGAGAATAAGAGGGAAAGTAAGACCATCCACAAGTTTGAAATATAAAAAGACCTTTGGTTTTGGATTACTGACCGAGCATGGCATTGCAGATACACACAAAAGACTTTGGTAACAGATTTAAACTCTGTTTGGAGGCCAAGAGCAGAACCACTGGGATAAACTGAGGACCACTGTAATTTCATGAAGGAAATGGTGAAAATTAAAGTTGTTATGTAAGCATAATATAGTAACAAATGAATAGTGTTAAATATGCCAATTTTCTTGACTTTTAAAAAATTGTTTGGCTAAAATCCTAAAAAAAAAAAATCAAGTGCTTACATAGTAGATAAATACCGGAGGAGATGTTCAGTTCAAAGACTTTACAATAGCACAAGGGCTACATTGTACCAAATGGAACTTGAGAAGCAGCCAAGATGAAATGGTATAAGCTACAGTTACACTCAGTATATTCCAAATGACCACTAAGCTTGTTCCAATCAAAGCCGGGTCTAAGCAATCAACTTTATCATAAAATGTCATGCTCCATATTAAGTTGATTTGATTCCATTAGCAACTTTAGAGAACGGTGTCCTTGGTCTCTGAAAACAAGGACAAAATAAAATGTTTCAGTAGAAGAAAGAAAAGAGAGATGGAGATTCTGTATTTAATCAGTGAACGGCTCTGCCGATGTCAAAACAGAAAATATATTTCACCATACACCGTACAATAGTGCAGGTCAAGCCAGAATATTTGTAAGAATGAAATAATGATTTTTACTGTAGTTTAACAAACTGTTTTTGAAATGTAACATTCACTCTAGTGTGACAAGCCATCCACATTTTGAGAAAAGAAGAAAATTTAGGCAGCAAACCTTTCAAAGCTATATCCACCAGTCTTTGCAGATGCTACAAAAGCAACGTGCCTCACGAGGAACTGTTTTGGACCAGTACACGTTTTAGGAACAAAATTATTTGTTGGCCTTGCACAAAGAATACAAGCACCTCATCAAAACCATTTAAAAATCCATTTTATAAGAATGAAGCCATTTAATAACAAATGAAATACATGTGCTCTCACAAAGACCTCTAGAAACATCCTACCTACCCACAAACACCAGCACTAAACCACTTTTTGCTCAAAAGAAACGTAAGGTCCATTTAAGGTTCAACACCAAGGATGAGGCACCACAGTGCTCTAATCTGGAGGTGAACAAAGGATAACAGGGGACATCCTTTCTCCTTTGAAAGGGATTACGCATAATGAATGCAAGACTGAGTTCAGACTATCCGCAATAGTTCTTTGATTCAGGAAATACTCCAGTTTAATTTGATATCTACATCTGAAAGGCCCTGGAAATGGATTTTTACTTCTGCACAAAGTTGGCATCACTGTTTTTTAGAAGAGCTACCGTGAAAAATCTTGAAGATTAACACCACCACAATTACTTCCCTCTCTCCCACCTCCACAAATGATACAATTAAGAGAGGTGACAAGACAAATGTGCAAGACTGGGCCTTAAAAGACTGGTGAAATCCATGCCAATACGCTGCTACTGCAAATAGAAAGTAGAAACTACTCAGATCACTACCATTAAGGAAACTTTTCCAATTGTCAGTACTATTTAAAACCACAGTTGAACTTGGAACCTGCAACATAACTCCAACTTTCCTGGAATTAAAAATAAAAATTACTTTCTGGAGAGGAGGAGGAGGAGGAGGTGGGGAAGGACACCCTAAATTGTCAGAGAGGAGAAGAGTCAGAAGTTGCCAGCCCCAAAAGGTAACATTTTCTGGTTTCTGCACCACATGCATACCAATTAAGCACCAAGCACTCTACTGAGAAGTTTCATCTTTCCCTTTACATCTCTGCCCGTGGGCAAGGCTCCTTGCCACAGGAGCACTAGTTTCTGTCCACACTTCTTTCCATAAGCCAGGACAAAATAACCAAAGGCAAAAAATGGGGAGGGGGAACCTAATCTTTACAGTCATCACTGAACTGTGGTTTCAAAAAGAGAAAGTAGATGTTCAGAAAACTTTACTTCCAATGCCAAACAGCTGACCACACTCTTAATATCATTTTTTCCAGAGGCCAAAAGGCGTATTACGCCTCTTATTTTAAAATGGAAGATTTCTCTTCCTTGCTCTTCAGGAATCAAAAATGCAACCTGTTTTTCTTTTCATAGTAGTTACGCTGCCCCGTGCATACACTTGGAAAAACTGATGACACAAGCTATACTCTCATCTCTAATGGAACCACCAAAGTATTTCTAAAATAAACAGCTTTTAGAATACACATTGGTCTCGGTTAGGATAAATTATAATGTAATTTTGTACTACTTTTTCCTAATTATTTTACAAAACACATATGTTTGCAGGTTCAATATTCTAAAATAGATCTCCTGTGGCATTCTATGTTGGTTTCTCTTCTAAATACAGTAGCCTCTAAGCTGTGACACACTTTTCTGCTGTTGATTAATACAAACTCAAAAGGGAGTAGACGTGGATAGGGGGGTGCGACACAGAGGAATGACTCTTTAAAGGCTCCGTAATTTTCTAGAGCTTAAGGCATAACTGTTTAAAAAAAAAAAAAAGTTTATGCAGGAGAAAAGGCAGCACTCTGTTTTTTTCAAAGTACTGCACAGATGACACTAGATAAGACTTGTGCTTTCTTCTTCCCTTGGAACTGCAGCAAGGGAGCTTTTTACAAGGGACTCTCCAGATCTTGTTTGTAATCTTGTGCAGCAGAGCAGGAAATACACTTCAGTTACTGAGCAGTGTGGTCCAGCTTTGTTTTCAAAAGGAAGGATCAACCCACTTCCCAGATAGTATCCTTAGGTAGGCAGCAGCTGCTGAAAGAAAGAAGCACTGTAAAAAGAGTATTAGCTTGTGTAAGAAGTACATTTGCTCAAATTTTTCAGATATTTTCAACTTAACGCGTCAACGCTTCAGGAGAATAATATAGTATACCATTATGGAGGCACATACAGGGAAGATGAAAATGCACAAGAGAATAGATTATTGTCTCACTAGGGCTTGAAAACAACGCTCATCCATTTGAATGGAATCAG